GGGGCGTAGAGCGGCGTTGAAGCTAACCGATGGCTCCCCTGAGATGCAGGGTGTTAGTCTCCGCAAGCTGTCATTCTGACGTTTCTCTTGAGATCTGGACCGCGCTGACCGACACCACATTACTGAACAAAGAGCAGATTTGAAACGGTAGCTGTCATATTCATGCGGGTGCGTCGAATATTTGGAATTGCCTTGCTCATTCATGAGGGGCTCAAAGGGCAGAACAATTTGATTTATACAGACTAGACAACAATAACTGACATCATAGTGCGTGTCTATTTGACAGTTGCGAGATAGAAAATCTAGTAAGTAGTCGCAGGTCTTTTCAACTTTTTCTAAGCACTCACATCACTTTTATTTTCAACCCCATAACTGCAAATACTACAAAATTGGGCTGTTATAAACTGAAACTAATCCAAATGTATTCAATAAATGCAATCACGCAACTTTTGTGAAAGGGAAGCGGGCATTCATTAAGTACATTAAGACAACTTACATACCAAACAGAGAATATTAGTTGACAATAATATATGGCGCTATCACGATTTTTCGTTTCACCTTAAATATAATATTCAGCGGGCTTGATATTTTCTTATAAAGAATTTTTCATTGATCCTCAATTAAAAATTTTATTTCTTGACTTGTTATATATACCATGTATGTATATATATATATGTATATATATATATATATATATATATATATATATATATATATATATATATACATATATACACACATCAGTGTCTTAAACCAGCACACTAAGTCTGAAGCGTGAATTTTTAGTTTTTGCAAGTTGATCATATCATGACTCCATTTGAGCAGCTCTATTCCCATTCTCTAACACGTGTTTCTATTTTCTAGTCATACGGTAGGATAACTCGTGACTGGTTGCCGTGGCGCTCCATCGATTTGGATGTCTTCGCCAAACTTAAACGAGCCGTATCTTCATAAGCGCCCTTTGTGATTATCTCTCAATGTGCCTCTCCAATGCATGGATGAAGCGACGAGCGAGGTGGGTGGGTGACGCTGCCATGAAGCAGATGACTCGAGACACGCGCCGCCTGGCGAAGCGATCGCGGCCGCGTCGCCCACCCGTCCCTCTCGCCGCGCATTGGGGTGGGTTGAAAGAGAGCTGCCGATATCGCCTGAATAAATAAAAAAAATGAAATTCGAAATCCATTAAGAGGCAAATCCGTGACTGAGCGGAAATGAAGGAGGTGCGAGGAGGGGATAAGGCGAGACGAAGGGAGACGGACACGACGAGTTCTTTGTAAAAAAAAGTGCAGGTAACAGACCCCAGTAAAGCCATCTGACCTGCAAAGACCAGCATTTCTTCTTTGCCAGAAGTCTGTGGCGGTCAGCCCTTGAACACCACAGTACCATGAGAAGCTAGCAGAAACTTTCATTCTAGTAACCTCTCCCATAATAATTTTTAAACGATAAAAATAGCGAATCATTGAAGTGAAAAAATTATGTACCACCTTCTTCTCAATTATAACAAATGTTTCTTACTTCATGTCACAGAGAAATGCTTCGTTTCTGCACGTACATTTTTGGACAATTTTTCCGTATTGTCCAGAAAGTTGTAGGATCTTTAAAGTTCAGCCGCAGGAACAAACTACTCTTTCTTATAGAAACGATTAATTTATGAATTGAGTAATTGATATTAAGACATTATTACATGCATATTACGACAGCCTGTTTCACGCGCAGCCCTGCGATAGCGCTCGACCTCGCCAGCCGGCGTAGAATTGCAGTTCGCAAATGCCGCAAATAGCATCACAATTCTTCATCAGCGCTTTAAGACTTGAAAACACGCCCAAAGTTCTGGGGACAATCAGTCCGCGACTAAATTGCAAAATTACAAAACCACTTTCTGTTGGAATCTATGCCTCCGACGTCAAAACTGAAACGGAATTATATAAAGCAAGTATTATAAAGAAAACACTGGGGTGTCACACTTGAAATTACACGTTCAGAATAACCGAATCTAAAGTGAAAAAGGCATCAAACAAAAAACACTTATTCTACTGAGAAACAAACTTACAAATATGGTCGTAGAGACAGGTTCATAAAAAAATAACGATAAAAACGGTTAATAAATAATAGAATATCTAGAAATAAAGTAAATTTTTAAGGCGAGTTTAGGGAGAATATGGACAAAAACTGAATTTTTGTTTTATTCCCAAATTATTTCCCGTAGCTTCTAGTAGATTCTCCCTACGTTTTGCGGCAATCAGTTTGCGGGATGGGCTTAAAAATTCAAATAACATCGCAGTATAGCATCAAAACTTGAACTTGATGGAGAACTGTGAAATGATGATAAAGAGAATGTTGCCAATGGTTTCAAATTATACACTTGTAAATCATACCTGAAGCTCTTAGTAAATATTGGGATTGTGTGAAGAATGATTAACAAACTTACCGTTAAAAGATGAATGGTAAAAAATAAAATAGAGGTTTTGATGGAGGCCACGTTCCAGAAGTGACTCTTGTATGTTTTCAAGCAAATCTCCGTTACTTTCGTTTTGTATTATAAATGTACCAATTGCTCAAAAACTTTCCACGTAAATTTTTAAATTTAGATCATATTTGCAGCATAAAAAGAAAATAATTTCTGTGGAAGAACTTTTACAAAGTGTGCTTACATTCTCCATTATAATATTTCTAAACTCAATTTTTTGCATCTAAAAATAATGATTATTCATTAAGTATTTCAACGTAAACGCATAAACTTTTTGATTAATAAGAAACATTTTTTCAGATATATACCCCTTCAGAGTATGAAAGTTTATTTTTCTACATCAAATCCCAGCGGATTAAAAAATTATAAAACCTAAATCAGCCTACTTTGATATATACACGGAACTCTTTGTGCGCTGGGAAAACATGTTTTTCCATTCATTTCCGAAAATTAAAAACTACAGCCCCGAAGGGTCAGGCAGGAGGGGTCTCTCGAGCCACTTCGCTCTATACCTACACCGCTTATATTGAACACATATCACGAAGTCGTCTGAATCCCTGTCAGAAGTACTTGCAGACATTTCTTTTCACCGTCTCCGTATATAACAATCAGTACACCATTGTGCTTCACAAAACTTCACTACCCTTTATTTGTGAAACATTCTTATCATTTTTTTTACTTTTTGCTAGATAAATAGAAAGGAACACTGCGCACGGAACATGTAGCCACGTTACTATTTACTAGAAAATGCAACGAATATTACGAATATTCATGCCCGACCAAAATGGAGAACCGTATTCAAAGCAGAACACGTCTAAGTGGAATAATAAGGCAGTGAATTTTTCAATTTTCGAAATCGTCAGGGGAGCGAGTAGCAAATGACTAACAGTGTGAGTTGTTGATAGAATGTTTCATGAATATATTCTCTAGGAAGAAGAATAGAGAGAAATAACGTATATCGTGGTGAAATTATTAATGATTAAAATTAAAGTAATTATTTATATAGTGCATTGATATTTAACTCATTTATAAGTAGTCATGGGCATCAAATTTTCTGAAGGTTTTTGTGACGACAGAATATTTTATGATGATTTTGCATTATCTGGTCTGCTATTAATAAGTCAAAAAAGTGGAATGTAACGTAGTTCGAAATAAAAGTTTTCGGGGCGAGTAGTTAACAGCAACTACTAGAAGCGATGAAAAACAGAAGTGACATTCCACGACAATCGTGAAATTGTAGTTGGAGGGTGTGTCCATACACCTTGTTTTCCGCTTCACGCATATAGTTCATTCCCACTGAGAGCCCTGGTTTCGCACCGTCTGCACAAGTGTTGGAGTGTATTATTCAATCTCAAATGCTTTCATGATATCTCGAGCAGGGTGGGAATTGCTGACCAAAACAATTAGTTACGATTTTTGACACTTCGCATAGATGTTCTGGAAGGGCCAGTCTCAACATGCTGCTGGCGGAAGTTATAAACAGCTCGAAAAACGTTTACCACAATAAGCAGTAGAATGTCAATTATTGTTGCCAGAGTATTTTCAACAAAGTGAGATATAACGAATAAAACACATAGACACGTCGATGGATCTATTATTAATATTATTTCAGTGATCAAATACTGCCAACCGATCGATGTTAAAACCAACCATTAAACTTTACTGCTAACTATAAAATGTTTCACCCAATGTGTTAAAAACAATTATTACAACTTATAGCATTGTTATATCAGTTATAGCTAAGGAACAGATAAATCCACATGCCATAAAATAGATCTAATTTGAAACAGAAAACACTGCGTAACGAAAGCCACTTGTCATTCGTTTCGCTTTGTTCTTCCACTGGTCTTTGCTTATTGAAAGTGCCTGTTTCGAACCGGTTTAACTTGCAGGTGTGCACTGCAGAAGGTCTTCCCATCATTGTCGAGCATTCGGATGAATAAGGGAGCCGAGGGGCCAGAAGCTGCTGAGGGCGAGCGCTCGGGTGCCCGTGCACCACACGATCTGCCGCCTCAGGAGCGGCGAGCAGCACCGGAGGGACTTGGCGGAGGCCGGCACGTGGGCGGTGGCGCTGGTGGAGGCGGGGGCGGG